AATTTTGAAAATCTGAGAGACTGTGCAAGAGCCAACGACCAAAACACTACAAAGATACAGCAGTAGTAGCTGCTTCATGCTGCATTGAGTATTGTTGAATAATTTGAAGTAGTGGTTTTTGAAATCAGCACCCCTATGAGAGCGCTGGCGACCGAAACAAACTATAAGATTGTGTATTAGAAACTGCTTCATGCTGTGTTGAGTAAGCTTCGATATCTTTATCAGACCACCTTTAAATTAACCACTCACATTCTCACTGTGGTCCATCTAAAATTTGTAAACTTTATGACATAAAATATTTTATGCAGGATCCCACCTATTACTTAATCTTTTTGGAATAAATGTTTTATAATATTTATCGATTGATTGTAATTTTTGTATAAAAAAAGTTTATTTATATTAAAAATATATTCGGTTAATGATATTATCTTATAATTTGTAAATAAATCTAGTAATAAAATAACTTTAATAGTTGGTGTCACTTTTCGAAAATTCGTTTTTTCTTCTATATCCTTTATCCCAATTTAGATACTCAAAGATAATTCTTTTTCAGAAGAAAAAAATATTTTCTAAAACACCGTTATTCAATGTGAGTTTTCAATTTTATTTTCCTTTTTGCTGCTCAATGCAACATCCTCCACCCGATCCTCCATGCGAGGTTGATCAAAAGCCATAGGATATTTAGAATATTCTCGTTTTGTTATAGCTGCAGAGCTGCATGGTAACATAAGATTTGTCAAAGACCCACAAAAACTATCAATTGGAACAGGAGTATTAATCTACCACCGATGCGAATACGAAGGCTGCCCAGCAGGCTTTAAATTTATTAAAAATTTCGACAATTACATTTTTAAATCTGCAAACTTAACTCATATTGGAAAAACCAGAATTTTCGAAAAAGTGACACCAACTATTAAAGTTATTTTATTACTAGATTTATTTACAAATTATAAGATAATATCATTAACCGAATATATTTTTAATATAAATAAAAAACTTTTTTATACAAAAAATTACAATCAATCGATAAATATTATAAAACATTTATTCCAAAAAGATTAAGTAATAGGTGGGATCCTGCATATAATATAATTTTATGTCATAAAGTTTACAAATTTTAGATGGACCACAGTGAGAATGTGAGTGGTTAATTTAAAGGTGGTCTGATAAAGATATCGAAGCTTACTCAACACAGCATGAAGCAGTTTCTAATACACAATCTTACTAGTGGTGTTTCGGTCGCCAGCGCTCTCATAGGGTGCTGATTTCAAAAACCACTACTTCAAATTATTCAACAATACTCAATGCAGCATGAAGCAGCTACTACTGCTGTATCTTACTGGTAGTGTTTTGGTCGTTGGCTCTTGCACAGTCTCTCAGATTTTCAAAATTTTTTTTTCAACACTATCTTGTTTCGCTCTCAGAAAGCTATCCTACAAAGACATCGAAGCTTACTCAACACAGCATGAAGCAGTTTCTAATACACAATCTTACTAGTGGTGTTTCGGTCGCCAGCGCTCTCATAGGGGTGCTGATTTCAAAAACCACTACTTCAAATTATTCAACAATACTCAATGCAGCATGAAGCAGCTACTACTGCTGTATCTTACTGGTAGTGTTTTGGTCGTTGGCTCTTGCACAGTCTCTCAGATTTTCAAAATTTTTTTTTCAACACTATCTTGTTTCGCTCTCAGAAAGCTATCCTACAAAGACATCGAAGCTTACTCAACACAGCATGAAGCAGTTTCTAATACACAATCTTACTAGTGGTGTTTCGGTCGCCAGCGCTCTCATAGGGGTGCTGATTTCAAAAACCACTACTTCAAATTATTCAACAATACTCAATGCAGCATGAAGCAGCTACTACTGCTGTATCTTACTGGTAGTGTGTTTTGGTCGTTGGCTCTTGCACAGTCTCTCAGATTTTCAAAATTTTTTTCAACACTATCTTGTTTCGCTCTCAGAAAGCTATCCTACAAAGACATCGAAGCTTACTCAACACAGCATGAAGCAGTTTCTAATACACAATCTTACTAGTGGTGTTTCGGTCGCCAGCGCTCTCATAGGGGTGCTGATTTCAAAAACCACTACTTCAAATTATTCAACAATACTCAATGCAGCATGAAGCAGTTTCTAATAAATATATACATATATAAATATATACATATATAAATATATACATATATAAATATATACATATAAAATATATACATATATAAATATATACATATATAAATATATACATATATAAATATATACATATATAAATATATACATATATAAATATATACATATATAAATATATACATATATAAATATATACATATATAAATATATGCATATATAAATATATACATATATAAATATATACATATATAAATATATACATATATAAATATATACATATATAAATATATGCATATATAAATATATACATATATACATATATATATAAATATATAAATAACAAAATACAATCAAAAAATAGTGTTTGGTAATTTAAGGTTAAGTGTCACTTTTCTAGTGTCACTTTTTCGTAAATTCTACCACACTCATACGAAGGCTGCCCAGCAGGCTTTAAATTTATTAAAAATTTCGACAATTACATTTTTAAATCTGCAAACTTAACTCATATTCACTCAGGACCACCACCACAACATAAAAATACACCTACAAGTGGTACTTACCGTGCTTGGATTAAAAATTTCTCATGAATCACGGAAGTCCACTTAATGCAACACAAGAAGTCAACAAAACACTTGAAATACCTAAAGATCATACTTGTATTCACATGACTATGAAACAAACTGCAATCAATCAATTGAAATATTATTTACAACAAAAAGATCTTATGAGATCTTTAGCAGACATATCTTTAAATCAATTTCAATCTTTACAAAACTATGTTAATCAATGGGAAGATCAACATGATGACCTTATTTATTTTGACATTCAAGGTGAAGATACCGATTTTCCAGACAAATTGGTTTTTATTTACTCTGATAATGATATGATCTCTCAAATTCATGAAAAACCACCAATTTATCACTTAGACTCTACGTTTAAATTAATTATTCATGGATTTCCTTTTTATGTATTAGCTACCAAATTTGCTAATACTCATTCTATCCCTTTGTGTTATTTTATAATATATCCAGATAATAGTGAAAATATTTCTTTTTGCTTAAGTAAATATTTTGAAACAACTCACACAGAACCTGAATTTATCATGTCTGACTGTGCACTAAACATTTTCAACGGGATTAGGAATTCATTTCCGGAGTGCAATATTGTCATAAGACGAAATGGTGGAAGTGAGGTGAAGTCAAAAAGTAACATCTATTTGGCCGGCTAAATTCCCCTTTAGTTTACATGTCAAAATTACAATAAATTAATTATTTTGCTTAGCAATTAGCTATGTATTAAAACTAAAATTATTACTATTCAATTCTTTACATTCAAATATTAAACAATTCAAATTTAATAACAAAGATATTACAATAAATAAAAAAATGATTAAAAATGTCCCTGAAAATTTCTGAAAGCTATCTCGTGTTTAGGTCTCAATTTTTTTTAGAAATAGAAAAAGATTGGATTTAACTTTCAAACATTATATATAGTTTTGTATATGGAAGCCTTTAAATACAAGTTAATGATATGGAGTTGTATTGCGAGGAAGAGGGAATCAAAGAAATTGACGAAGTTCCAGAATTTTATTCAACAATTCTTAATCAATTAACAAAAACTATACCGAAAACTTATCTTACCATCCAAATCAAATCACATTACATACGGAATAAACATTTAATCTTTTACCATTAAAATTATATTTATACGTTATTTAATTTTTTTACGTCTAAGTTGAATAGGATAATAGCCGAAGATATAAAGTAACTATAGTTTACAAGCTAAGGAACAAATCAGCATTGAAACTAAAAAATGCTGAATATTATAATAAATTGAAGAAATACTGTGATAGAATACCTAGTTATACTAGATACTATTATAATATGAATTCATTTGTATTGAATATCGATAATAAAAAATCGATGAAATATTAAAATGAGAATAAATTAATAATGAGATTATAAATTAGAATTATTTCTCTTTATTTAAAATAAAAACTTAGTTCTATTTAAATTCGATAAAGAAGTACGAAAAAGTTGTATTATACGTATGATGTTGCCCGATGTTTGGTAACACTATTGTAGAATATAAGCATATATGATAGAAAAGCAATATGCTTAATATCGAGTAATTCTAATTTTTTACGAAATTATTCAAATACGTTATTTTTTAGTTTCAATGCTGATTTGTTCCTTAGCTTGTAAACTATAGTTACTTTATATCTTCGGCTATTATCCTATTCAACTTAGACGTAAAAAATTAAATAACGTATAAATATAATTTTAATGGTAAAAGATTAAATGTTTATTCCGTATGTAATGTGATTTGATTTGGATGGTAAGATAAGTTTCGGTATAGTTTTTGTTAATTGATTAAGAATTGTTGAATAAAATTCTGGAACTTCGTCAATTTCTTTGATTCCTTCTTGAAGTGTTGAAATTTCTTATTGACTCTCTTTTTATAACTTTTGAAAGAAACCGTAAAAATTGTGAAACATGTTTTTTAATAAAAAATAATTTTGATGAAAACCATAAAATAATTTAAAATTGAAATAAATTTTTGAAATCTATGATATTGAATAAAAAAATTTATAGTGTAGATATTGATATAGATATAGATGTTAATTTTAATATGATATTTGATAAAATTTTTTTATCAAAACATACTGATAATAGGTTGACATGTAATATGATATTTTGCCTTGTAAATATATTTGGTCGGCAAAATAACCTAATTACTCTTATTTTGAGTTCACTTCCACCATTTCGTCTTATGATAATATCTTTTGGTGCGCGCTACATGTAATACGCGCACTTAAAAAGAATCTCTCAAAGATAAATGATGAAGAGATTAGATCAGAAGTCGAAAAATTTATGAACATTTTATGTTATTATCGTGATTGCACAGAAGAAGATGCTGCAAAAATGTATAAAGAGCACATTATTGATAAAATTCAAGATCAATTGGAATTTAATCAATACTTTACACGTCAGTGGGACATTCATAAACAACAGTGGATAGCCGCTGCCAGACCAAATGGATTAACCGTTGTGAATAACGTTTCTGAATCTTTATTTAAAAAGATAAAATATCACGATTTTGGCTCCGTTAAAAATCAAAGAATTGATGTTTTTGTCAAAAATCTTTTAGAAGAAGTTGCACCCAATTACTTTTATCGTATTAAAAACGATTTACTTCAAACAGGTTTTATTCCTTCAATTAGAATTCGCGAGCCTCGATTGACAGATTATAAAACAAAATTGAAAAGAGAAGTTCAATCACGTTTATACCAAGTATTAAATTTTGTTCAGAATCAAGAAGCCAATTTGAATCCATTAAGATTTTTATTGGAAAATGCTGAAGAAAAACTTTCTCAAATAAATGAGAAGATACAAAATTCAATTACATATTTAAGATCGTTTGAAATTCCAAATGAATTGTTAGATACGTATATGTTAGAAATTAATGAATTTTGTTATAATTCTCCAGATTATATTTTAGAACATTTCGAAGAATTTTTGGAGGATTTCAAAGAAAAGAATAATTTAATAGACTAAAAAAATATTATTTTTATTTATTGTGAATTTTAAATTGTCACTTTTTAAGTGTTACTCCCTATTGAAAGTGTCACTTTTTCGGAAATTCTTATATACTCGTGAAATGTCGTCGCATTTCACCAAAATTTCTCGGCGCCATATAGAGAACTAGATTCTGCGAGGTACTGATTCTATCTATGTACCTGGCAGACCCTAGTTCTCAGCCAAAATGGCTAAAAATTGCTCGCAATTGTTTGCCATGTAAGCTGTCAATTTTTGAGGAGATTTCACATTCTGTCAAATCTCCTTTTTTCGTATATAAGAAAAATAAAAGAGAAAATAATTATAATTCCCATATTATAATTTCTTTTTTTTTCTCTAATTCTTTTTATGAAGGTAGACATTGATTTTGCTGAATTTATTAACATAATGAATATTAGTGTCACTATATTTTATATCGGACTTAAAAATGCTTCACTGGAAAACTAAACATGGTGGAATATTTTTAAAAGAATTTTTAAGTGATTGTCACAATTGATTTAGAATTAATATTGGCAACTGATGATTAAAATTTTGATTATAAATTTAGCTTTGTGAAGAGTGAAGAATCTAATTCAATTATAGCATCCATACCGAAAATGAACTTTAAAAAGTGACATTTTAAAAAAGTAATATCATTTTCGGTAATATCATATAAAAATAATAACTTGCATAAATTGCAAATAACATATGAATTATAATTTTTAGAATTTAACAATTTTTTTATTTAAAGATTCGAATTTTTTAAGATATAAAAGATCTGATGAGTGAGAGGCATATAGGAATACTAGATACCTCTCACCTTCCATTCCTTAGAGAAAGTTGCAATGTTGTAAACAGAAATTCATCAAAAGTGACACCTCAGAAAAGCTAAAATATTGAATTTTTGGAACTTTTGATAGAGCACGATTTTAAATATTAATTAAAGTAAATGTATATTTTGTAAAGATTCTTTTTAATAAAAAAATAAAATTTTGAAGAAGAACACAAAATCTTCTGAAAAATAATATCACATAAACTCATATTATTTTCTAATATATAACTATTTTATATAAAAATCAAATTCAATGATCTTAAAAGCGAAGGATAAACCTCAAAATTTACGAATATAATGAGTGGGAATATAATGCTTATCTATCATAAAACCATATGAAATATCAATTTTTGCTTTACGCCTATTCCCGCTCATTATATTCGTAAATTTTGAGGTTTATCCTTCGCTTTTAAGATCATTGAATTTGATTTTTATATAAAATATTATATATTAGAAAATAATATGAGTTTATGTGATATTATTTTTCAGAAGATTTCATTCTATATGCCTATGAAAAGTACTCTCAAAACTAACTTTTTCCTAATTATAATTAAATCTAGAATATTGTATTATGCTTAGTATTATTTCATTTTTCTCATTCAATTTAGAATTTACAAATGTCAAAAAATTGAGAGCTGTCACTTTTGATGAATTTCTGTTTATTACAGCAAAACTTCCGACCAAGTTTTACAACGTTCTAGAAGGAAGATGAGCCAACTAAGCATTAATAATATATCAGTGCCTGGGAAGCTCCTTTTGTTTCTTTGTAAAAAATTTTTTAATAAACAGTTCATCTATTTTAATATTTTTATGAATAATAATATTTATGTTACAAAAATTGCAGCGAAAAATCAGGGTAAATGTCACTTTACGTCACTTTTATAAACTGTCAAATATTGTGTCACTGTAAAATATTATATAATATCATATATAAAATGAACTTCACTAAAAGTGACATTACACCGGCAAAAAATAATTTTTATGAAAGGAGTCTCATATATAAATATAAACTTCTATCTATTCTATTTAACAAATTAATTATTTTTTATGATTAATTAATTTGATATTTTAAAAAATTTGATAATGTATCCGAATTGGATGATCTGAGGTATAAAGATAAATTAATTTTTTTAACATTCAATTCCTATGATAAAATTCGACAACTTGTTCTCAATCAGGTGCAATTGTAACACAGTTTTCTAACTTTTTTAGATAATAACGGTCGACACACACTGATAATATTTATAAAAATATTCGTAGACATTTAAAAACATTGATAATTATATTTTTGAAATTTTATAACAAAAATAGTTTGAAAAATAAGAGCATCTGTAACTTTTTATAAGTTTTTATAAGTCTCATTTTCTGTACGGAAGTACAATATATATTGTTCGAGGTCACTGGCCTTAATCCAGTAAACCCGGACAATATACATATTTGTCACAATTTATTAAAAATTAATGGAAGCGTCGGCCTTGAACCTTCATTATACAAAAGAGTACAAAGAAGCTGCAAGTTTGATGATTGTAGCAATAGATGGTGAAACAAACGAAGCACAAGTGTTAAGGCAGTGTACCACTCGGAACCTTCTTCCATTGTCATCACAGAAGATAATATCTAGATTCCATTGACAATGTAAGAAGAAATGATCTACAACCTTCAAATGGAGATCAAAGAGTTAAAGATAAATTAACAAACATTTAACAAATCCTTACACTTCAACAATCCCGGCAAGTGGCCTCCGTCGCGTAAAATGCAATGATTCCTCAAACAGAAGTTGCACCAGATCAAAAGAAAGATCACACATTGCAAGAAGCGTATCCAGCAGTTTCAAGAATGTTTATAAAATGTTTATTCGATATGAAAATAAAAAGGAAAAAGAAAATTAATTTTTGCATCCCATAATCTTTCATGTAATTTAATCCTTAAACAAGATCTCACGCGTCTCTGCTTTTTTACTTGGCGTTTAGCAGATGGTTCTGAGACTCCAATATTAATTTCCATCAGAGAGCATTTGATCTGCGAAAATGTTTGGACTATTCAAATAGGTATTAAAAGATTTTACAATATCTGTAATTTCATTGGAAGAGACACCTGATAATTTCAACAACTTCTTCAAATAATTTCTTGCGGCATCTATGATATTGAGATATTGTTTGTCGACAACATTATCAAATGATGAGAGATCTCGAAGATCTTCTGCCGGATCAATTGCTGATTCAGGAGCTGCTTCAAACTCGTCATGAATTTCGAGAGGCTCTTCCATTCCATCTGGAGTTCCGAGAACTTCATCAACATATTTGTCGATGATTTCTTCTGAGAACTCTGTAAAAAATTGCAACCAATATTGCTTTTTTTCAAATATTCTTCATTATTTGCTGAAAGATAATTGTCAGGATGGCACTCTTTCGTAAACAAGTATCCGAGAATCGATAAAAATTCATCTTTTGATTATAACTTGTAATTATCAATAAATCCAAGGGATTTAATGTCTCGGTGAATCAAAATGTATGCATCACCGAATTTTTTGTGTGTAACTTAAATATTGTTGCAATTTGAAAAATATCACAAATGTTTTTGAAAAATAATTTTTTCTCTCTTCATTTTTCCTCTTAGATTAATGGAAGCTTTTTGAAATTTATCTATTTCGAATTTCAAGACATCATAATCGCTGAACCATCTTGTTGATTGGAATTAAGGGTATGTTCCACCAATCATTTCTGGGTTCTACCTCAAAACTTGTGCGAAATAACGAAATTCTTGGGCAAAATTTGTTAATCACCATCATGTTCAATAACATATTTATATGCATTATTTAAACGATGGCATAAACATGGAATGACAATTACATCTTTAATTCCAGGAATTTTTGAATAATATAATGAATTTTTGTAATCTGATGATCATTGACGATAGAATAAACAAATTTTGTTTACATGATCTGGATGATTGTTGCAGCTGATAATATTCAGTATTCTTGATTTTACGGCCATGACATAGTAATCTGTTTTGCAGCCCATCATAGGAATTGAAGCTGATAGATATGGTTTTATTTCAAATCTATTATGAGTGCTCTACAAAAAACTCAACTACTACGACCATTAAAAACTGTTGTTTAAAAAGTTTGTCCGTTGCCGATAAAAGTATACATTGAAAAAAGTTTATAACTCTCTCAATATTGAGAGTTGGAGATTTTGTCTATAGAGACTTTTAAATAAAATAAAAAATAGATGGGGCTTCCGTTGACAAAAACACTTTTGATTCAATATTTATTTTTCACAAATTAGTTGCCACTTCATTTTTCTCTAATGCAGCAAGACAGTGCTAACCAAAATTCAAAAATGGGCAATTCGAAGCGCAGAGTACCTTTCTCTGTTTTCTCAAAGCCTGATGCGATTGGAAAGACCAAGAAAACATTTATGAAGAGCGAGCATGGAAGCTAGCCATTCATGTCCCAGCTAGCTCCTCACAATATGCCTTCTCCATTTCTCCAAAAAACATCTTCTCCAACGAAAAGGTTCAAGACCTTGATGTTGCAAAATTCGAACATGGAACTCAACATTTCAAATTGGATGTTGAGTTCCTTTTCACTGGCGAAGCAAAGTTCGTGCTTGAGAAGAACACAGATAAAGCTTTAAATGTTTTCTTCTCTGGATATGTTCATGAAGAACAAAACTATGACTCTGAAGAAGAAGACAACGAGGTCACTTTTATAGCTTAAAACTTTAAGAGTAAATTTTTTATCTTACTCTAATTTTTTATTTGCGACGATAAAAGTGCCAAGTGGAAAAAAGCGGGGTCGGTCACCCCCATGTCATGACTAAAAAAAGGGGCGTCCAAAGCAAACTCTCTTATCAAATTGCTCATAATAAGGATATATATTAACACAAGCTTAATCGAATTCGTCTCAATTCGAAGTTCTTTCCTAACTCCACACAAGAGGGCGAACGTAAGCTTTTTGATTTTAAAAAGCAGGATTATCATCAGAGCGACTCCGAGAAGATGGAAGCGGAGACTAGGAGCCCCCGGATGGAAAGCCTGTAATAATAAGATATTATTCATATATGTGTTCTTGATCAGTCTACTTTATATCATGGTGAAACAAACCAGTTTGAGAAAATTGAGAAGAATGTAAAGTGCATGTATTCAATTTTTCAATTCACTTTGTATGCCCTCGTTTTTGTTTCGGCTATGCTATTGCTTACATCCTTCATCATCTCCTGTTGAACAATGCTAATTTGTTGAAGATTTTTTTGGGAATTTCTTCTACTTATTTTATAAAGTGTATATTGTTTAAGTTTCTGCTAATAAGTAAGTTTCTCAATCCATTAAGCTTCTCTTACCTCGAATTGAACCTGGATATCAAGCGTGACCTCATGGAGAACTGTTTGATTGATATGCATTGGCAAATTGATCTTTTATTTTAGAGAAAATTGTTATTTAGGGTAATAACCTATGCTTTGTTATTTTTAATGATTAGTAATTAATAAAATAATAAAGTTTCATATGTAAATGGCCCAAATCATAATATTAATTTTTTTAAAAAAGCTTTCTTAAATATTGTGTGTTAAAAGAACCTCAATTGGTTTATAACAAACAACTCATTGCTCTTCATGTTTGAACCACTGATTAATTCTTTAATTCTTTCTACAATTGTATTTTAAACTGATTGATCAAATGATCTGCCAATAATAATTTAAGGCTGTGTCATTGTTTTCTGCAAGGTAAAATTCATCACCAGAGAGATCAACAAATTTCTTCATCGTAATTACTTTCTTTGCTTCATTGGTATCTTTCAGCATCATAATGGTTTCCGTAAAATGATTCTAGAATCGGACGTATGAAACTTCCTTCCGTGAATGAGTTAACAATCTCTGGAATTTCCGTGAAAAACTGAATAACATCATTTCAGAGGTAAGTGGTTCCAAGATTTGCGAGGCCTACATAATTCATTGTAAATAATGCAAATTTTGGTGTTTGAGTTTTTTTGTATCAGGATAGTACTTTTTTCAATTGGTTGCATTCACTATCTTCATTTTTACATTAGAGATCAAATAGATCTTAATTGTTCATTGATTGCAACTAGATAAGATAATTTGGTAAAGCAACCAAACCTTTGCCTATAACTGATTGTTGACAAAAACTGACACCATTCTTAAAAAGTGGAGGCGTTTTGTAAGCACTCACCTGCAGCAGTTAGGAAATTTGAGAATATATTGGTAATGAATTATTTATCTTTTAATCATGTGATTGATGTATCAATTGTTCCTTAAGCTCTTCTTTAACTTCATTACAGGTTTTTGGAGACATATTATGAAATCATCCGGAAACTAAATTGAAAATTCTTTTAAAAAAATAATGTTCCATAAAATTATCCATATATATATGAACTATTAAAATGTAACAATCCATATCCATAAATTGTTTTTGAATTTTATTTATGTGAGGAACCAAGCATTTTCTCAGTTGCTAGTTGTCATTTTTTGCCATTAGCAGCATTAGATTTACAGAGCAATTAAAAATATAGGCTCCATGTAATAATAAAAATCTTCTAAATTATTTTATCGTGTGCAGTAATAATATTGCTCCGGATCTAAATATTTCCTGGAACTAACTTGAATAGGCAGAATGCTGACATTTATTACAATCCATTTCTGAAATGGCAGACATTCATGACAACTAGCAATATTACAAATGAATTTATGAGTGATGGATATTTTTCGAAAAAGTGATATCTTGAAAAGAGATGCTTTCATGAGAAGGTGACACCATTTCTCGATCTGTACTTTGGAGTGAAGATGGAGTTTTTTGAAGCACTGAAATATTATCAGTACTTCAAAAACTCAATCTTCATTCAGATGTTACGAAATTTTCTCGGGATAAGATATATTGCGGAAAAAGTTTCCTTGCTTTCTAGAGGGAATTGTTCCCTCTGATGTATATATTCTTAATAATTTTGAGACACTCACCACTTTTTTCTCGCTTGATGTCACTTTTTTGAATATATATTCTTAAAAATTTTGAACGAAAGTCAAAATTCGAAAATTTCATGGATTTTTTGCAACTCTTCTTGCTCAATCCACCAATCTCCAGTCCAACAATGTCGCTCCATCTACTAGGAAATTGAATGATTACCTATTCTCGATCTATAAAAACAATTATATCAAGATTCGCGGCATAATTTACCCTAATCCTCTTCCCCCAACTCCAGAGAAGGTTAGAGCATTCATTCTCTTCTTTTACAATACCCATCCGAAAACTACATTCGCATAGTTAAAACAAATTCTTCTTTCAATAAATAATTATTTAAGATTTATGGGATTCGGTGATTTCAACAAAAACTAATTCATTCCAAATGTTTCTTGAAAGTCTGTGTAGGCAAATGCTTGGCGGAACATTTCCAAACGCTAAGCATCCCATTATGAAAACAGAGATGGTAGACATAGGAACTCGTGCCATCTTATATCCAAATGTCTACCTCGAAGTCATGATTTTTATGAATTATGCGTATATTTTTTAATGAGCGGCGCATTTAAAAGTATTTAATTTTGAAAAATGTGATCGGAATTTCAACCCGCATTCACCCAGTGCGCATTCAGAATTTGCACACATTCTAATATATTCTATGAATTTGATTATTAAAAGCGCACTATATGAAATATATTAAAATCTACTAATTTTACTCTATTTTATTTATTTAATTGGATTTCAATAATAAAAGCTAATGATGGTTTTAATTTTTATCAAGAAATTATGTGAAAAGAAAAAATAGTGTTGGTAAATATATTTTTGAATTTGATAATAGCAAATTGCGTAAGTGAAGTGCGAAAAAATAAAATGAACGCACATATAAAGTGCGATAATTACGCATCGTTGTATTTTATAAAAAATAAATTTCAGTCAAACTCACTGTATATATATATATATATTCCCAAGGCTCCTGTTATATCCTATAAAGCGCTGCTAAAAAATGTCCACTTGTGGTATGTTTATTGTCAATTTCTTTACTAAATTCTAACTATTTTTATAAATTCAAATTTTTCTTCTTTTAAAATTCAATCTTTCGAAGCGATAGATCTTTGAGTTGACTAAAATAATTTATAATACAGTATTTTAATTTTTCCAAAAAAACTTTCTGAAACAGTAAAATCAACTTTATTTTGTTGTTTTTATTAATTAAATTTATTTTTTTCTTAAGACGTATCAGTATCAACAAACAATTATTTGTATGTAAAAATATTATATAATATTAATAAATTAAATTTT